ATTAACACAGTACTTTATTTTAACAAATATGCCCTGGAATGAAACGTTCAATGTAGTACTTTAACAAATATCCGAATATTAACACAGTACTTTATTTTAACAAATATGCCCTGGAATGAAACGTTCAATGTAGTACTTTAACAAATATCCGAATATTAACACAGTACTTTATTTTAACAAATATGCCCTGGAATGAAACGTTCAATGTACTACTTTAACAAATGTCTGACGCTCAGAGATATGTTTTGAGAGTAGAGTTTAGTGGAGATGTGAAAGAATGTCTCTAGTTCAAATATGGTCATATTAGGACCAGCTGTAGGAACAAACCCCAATACTTACACCCTCAGTTCCATGTCATCTAGCTTTTCTCACGATACTAAACTTGTCAACTTCTGGTTCTACGTTAGTGCTTTGGTTCTGCTGGTGGGTGCCACTTGTTTAGCAATACAAATGATAACTAAATTTTGGAGATGGCTTAAATGGCTAGAGAAAGAAACTTGATTACAAATGTTCAATGTTTCGATAAGTTTTGTCACCATTAGGTATAAAGTACAAGCTTGTACATTTGTAATAAAGTTTATTTCACTATCCATTCAAGTAGTTTCCAAACTTTGTTTTCTAAAAAAGTGGGCTCCTTCGTCATCACAAATAATAACTAAATCCGTTATTTGGAACGCTAAACGCTTAGGCCTACTTTTGAGAACTACGTCTTAAAATATAAATAGATAGTTTACAAAAACCATTAAAGTATTTATTTGTTGATTTAAGGCTTTTGGACAGCACCGATAGTCCCTTTTATAACCCTCTGAGTCATTAGAGATGTTTTTTTTTGCCGGTCGCCTAGAGATTTCTCTCTCAATGAGAACCTTCAACAGGGAAATGGTTAAAATAGCGCCACTTCTTACACCTGAAATTGTAGTTGTCTCTCGACACTTCAAAAACTCAAAATATTTATGTGAAACATAAGTTATTCTCTTTACACCCTAAATTTAATTGTCATTCATAATCAAACTCTCAGAGTGTCGAAGATCCCCTTGATACAACTTTCTTGGACCACCCAGCACGCAATCTGTCACTCTTCCTCAGGAACTGGCGTCAGGCACAGTGCAACCACTCTGGCTCAAGATCAGATGTCAGAACGTTAAAATAGTGAAATGTTTTGTGTCATATACGTCACATGGTTATTAAATACATTTTACAATTATGCTTTATGTTTAAAACGTACACACTTTTAAAAGGCGTTTTATTTACATAATATAACAATGAAGGAAGATTTTGTTTTATTTTGGCAGAACAGGAGGTGTGCAAAGCATGATAAAAGTCAAAGTTGTTAATACTGTTTACAGACTATCGTTGTCAAAACTGAAGACTACAAGTATATATGGTGCCCACTTCGTTTCCTTGCTGCTTAAATTTAGAAGTTGAGTTGTGTTTTCTCTCGGCAGTACATGGGTATTTAATTTATTAGAATGATATAAGTAGGCTTAAATAATGATTGTTGCATGTATTATCATTATTTAAAATGGACCCATAGAAATGGAAATGAAGATCTTTAGCCTGATGGTGACGTCACACATTTCGGTACTGTAACATTTAACACTACACTACTAATAACAAGAACGTGTTGCCCCCAATTTTTTCTACAGTAATATTGTGACGTCATGACATCTGTATGCCACTCGGGTTTCCAGGATTTATACTTTCTATAAGTTTTAGTCACAAGATTATTTGTATTAACACAAATCTCCTGTCAGGTAATAAACCTAAAACTTATGTACATCACGTAGCCGAAGAGACGTAAATTGCCACACTGATATTCACGTGTTTTTTTAATCTGAAAAATATGTATATCAGTACTTCCCGGGATAATCACCGTTGTAAGGGCAAAGTAGACATTTTTCTTTATGTTGAGACTCATTTTAATTATTTATTTTCTGTTATAAACCACAAA